TCGCGAGCGGGCAAAAGTAAGTACGTGTGCCCCGCGACGTCCCGCCGGGCCACAAAGGCGGGCGTCGGGCGCATGAGCCACGGGGAGCCGCCCGCCGCGACCAACGAGGGCGCGGCGGCGTTGTGTGGGCGCGCCAGGCGTGGAGACGAGGCGGGTGCGCGCCGCACGACGCCGAGCGCGTCGCGTGCCTAACGCGTCTGTTCCGCACCCCACGGGGCCGCCCGCACCTCGTGCACGGCGCGCCCTCTCTCTCCGGGTCCGCCGCGGCGTCCCCCAAATCGCACCTCCTCCCTGCCCCCGCACAAATCAAACTGCCCGGACGCGTCCGCACGCGACGGCGCGCGGCGCACATCGTCCCGAGGGACGTGTGCGCCGAAGCCCGCCGCGGGCGGACGTCTGCGCGGGCGGGCACGCGCGATTTTCTCGCGCCGCGCGCCACGCGCCCATGAAATGCGCCCAAACCGCCGAGATTTTTTCTCCCCCGATCGCGTCCAGACTGCGCGTGGGGGTGCGGCGGGGTGCATGGGAGCCGCGGGTGAGTTTTGGGGGCGTCTGGGTGCGGTGTCGGGGCGCGATGGCGCGGTCTTTCGCTGGGGGGCGGCACCTGGGGAGCCGCCGTACGCGATGTTGGGGCGGGGCGGGGCGACGTGGAATGTGTGTGGGAGGGCTGGGGTATGCATGCCGCACGTGTTTCGCACCGCTCGCGGGCGCGGGAGGAGGCGGGGCACGGTGTGTGCGCGTTTTGTTGAGATTGCCAATGAAATCGCCCGTGACGACGCCGATATTTTCTCCTCGGATCGCGCCGAAAGTTGCTGGGTGTATGCGCCGGGGTGCACGGGGCCGCGGTGTCGTCTTTTCTAAGCGATCCGGGGAGCCGTCGACGCGCGAGGTCGGAATTTTGCTGCAGGGCCGCCCTGCGGCAGCCACTGCCACGCGCCCGTCGTCGTCGCACGCTTCGTGCAGCGCGTAGATCGGTGGAGAGCGGTCTTGAGTGTCTATTTACCGAGAAGAGCGGCCGAGAACCGGTCCGCGGCGTCGACAACTTGAATTTCTGGTGATGGGCGCTAAGCAAAAGCGGCGGTGTGAGCGCAGTTCGCGTGTGCAGAGGCTGGGAACGCGCCATACGCGAGAGCAGTACATTATGCGTCATGTAATCGGGTGCTTCGGCGCGCCGGCCACAGAGCGCGACGACGAATGGGCGGGAATGTCGGCGGGAGGTGCCGCAGGCCAGACGGCGCGGCGGGCGAACGACGTCGACGGCGCCTTCGTGCGCGCACAGGCGCCATCCTGGGTAGACTTCCGACCGCTCGCGAGCGTGCGAAGCGGGGGCGTGGCGAAATGCGCGTGGGCCGTCGTGTTCTTGCGGGTGTGTTGGCGGAAGCGCCGATGACCGTTCCCGCGTCAATACTTGTGCGCTGCGCGAACGCCGGCGGGGGCGGGACGAGGGCGGCTGTATGCACTTTGTGGGCGTCGAAACCGGCCTGTTGTGTGCTTGTACAGTGAACGAAATCTCGCGAAACGTTATTTCGGGTGCGAGGGACCTCTAAACGGGTGCTGTCAGCGGAATTTTGGTCGGGCGAGGCTGTAAACACACCTGAAGCGAGGTTTCATCAGCCTCTACGACACGTTGAATGACGCAGGCGCGCTGACGACGGTGGGACGGCGGAATCGACGGCAGAGTGGGCGAGGGCGTCGAGAGTACAACGGAAGAAGTATGGGCGGGGCGGCGTCGTGCGTGCACCCTCGCATCCCAGGGACACCACGAACGACCTACGAGAATCCGGAGCGCGGGGACTGCGGGCGACGGTGAGCGCGGCGGATATACTGACCCAACGCACAGAGTGCACTGGCGCAGTCATTGACCGCCATTGCAGCTGCTTGGCGCGAGCGTTGGTGATGGGACATGCATCCAGCATAGCAGATACGCACTTTGTTTGCGAGTCTTGCATGAAAGGGCAGACGGGGGCTGCGGAGCACGAGGGAGGGCAGCAGTCAGGAGGGACGGGCAGACGGAGAGGCGGGCGAGAGAGCGAGGGAGACGCAGGCAAGTGATGCTTTCCCTTCGAGATCGGACTGGAGCTATCAAGGAGAAGGGCTGCAGCTCAGTCCAGCGCAGCTGCGACTGGCGGCACACGCAGGACGGCGCTGAGTGCGTTCGCAGGGGCGGCCAACGAAGACGCGAGCGGGGAGCGGCCGAGGCGAGTCGCTGTCCGATCGCGTTCGAGCGAAGAGGGCGAGGGGGCAGGCAGAGAGCAGCTCGGCGTCGACGATGACGTCCGTCTGTCGAGGGAGTGCAGGCGATCGAGCGCGTTGCCGGCGCTCGCGTGGATCTCGCGTGACACCCACACGTGATCGTGACCAATGTGGCTGCACGCGCCGCGCGCAGGCACGCGCATCAAGCTTGCCTCCTGCCGCCATCTTCCTCATTGTCGACCATGGCGGACCCCCCACAATTGCGGATATCCTGCAGAATGGGTGCGCTCCACTACACATCTTTGGAAACAGCTGAGCGCTCGAACAACATGCCAATCCACAGTCTGCACCGACCAGTGGCTAGTCACGCACGTCGATCCCTCGTGGCCTGTCTCTCAACTCAAGCAAATTCTCGTCCAGAGGTTCTCAAGGGAGCGCAAAACCGTGGAGAAGAGTCGGCGTACCATCCCTGTTTCTCCCCACAAGACCCGTCGGCGCTCTCTCTCGCCCATCACATTCGCTGCGCCCCGCAAACCTCGCCCGATAGTAACGGAGAACACTCTCTCTGTTGCAAGTGAGGAGGGGCCGGAAGCAGCAGAGGAAACTGAAGAGCTTGACAGCGACGAAGAAGACGACGAGGTGGTGGACGTCAACAAGGCCTTGAGCGAGGCGCACCGCTACAAGTACAACACCCGGCCGTCAACTTCCTCGACATCAGACGCCGTCTCCCGGCTCCCTCCTCCCGACAGTTCCGGTACGTCGCAAGAAGTCGAGGGGTGCGTTCTTATCACCTTCTCCACGACCCAGATCTTGGAAGACCGCTTCTCCCTTGACTGGTATGACATACACCCCGGCGAGCTGCTCGAGCTGCACCCGCTTGCCCACTCCTTCATCTCCCTGCCACGATTCTCGCTGGACGCATACATTGCACCGTACTTTGCGGCGCGAGTGTGGGCTCTACGCGTCGTCGGAAATGCCTTGGACTCCACTCTCCGGGATCTTGGAGTCCCACGCGATCATCAGACCGACGATGAGATCCCGGACGTCAGCCCGAGATCCCCATTGCTGCGCGACAAGAAGAAGAAAATCACGCTTGAATGGAAGGAGAGGTGGGCGGTTGTACATCAGGGTATCTTCTCCCTGTGCAAGGAGCGACATGTGAGTTTCTTTCGTGACTATATGCGGTCCAGACGTTGCACATTGCTCTCTAGTGAGACCCTGCGTTGGTCAGCATCGGTTGTCATTGTAGGCCGACGATTATTCGGGGCTTTGCCATCATCGTATCTCCGCGAATGATCGTCCGTACTCACTCCTCTATCTACAGGACACTCACGCGGCGTTCTCAACACCTCTTTCGACCATGCTCGCAATCCGAGACAGCACCCATTTTGATTTGCCCCTCCGCTCCTCTCGCCGCACACGCTCTCTGCCAACACCGGGCTTGTCTTCATCCGGGCCTGATGTTATCTGCGTCAAGTTCCTCGATGCAGCTACCACTCCGCCGCGACACCGAACCATGAGCCAGGACTCCCTGTCCGTACCATTCGAGCGAAACTCGTCGGAGGCATCATCCCCACCAGCACGGGACGCGTGGTGGCGACGGGGTTCACGTGAGGCGTCCGCGACTCTGAGCAGTAGTCTCGCGTCTAGCGCGAGCGCACTTATGGGAAGTCCCAGTGGGTCTGGTCTGGCCGAGATGTGGGACGCACTTGCACGACGAGGGAGTCGTTCTGGGCTGGATGATTCCGAATGCGAGGGGGAAGAAGCAGTTTGGATCGTACTCGACATGCTCACCAGTGCAGGTACGTTCAAACCTGATCGTTACATCAACCAAGCTGACTATATGCGCGCATATAAGCATGTTCACATATACTGCGAGTGCTGCACAGACACGCCCCGACGTCATGCGAATCCTCCTTTCTTCCCGAGCGCGCGCCCTCGCGATCCGCACCATCACCAATCGTCTTCAATACCCGAACATCGTCGCCCTTCTCTCCGTCAGACCTCCCCACTCCAGGACCCTCTTCGTCATATACCTTTCCACCTACAACTTCTTCGTCTCCTGCCAAGCCATCATTTTCCTCGCAGCCGCCACATGAGTCGGGCACCGCATACCCCTTTCCAAGCTCCCCACTCGCCTCTGCACCGCCTACTCGTCCAGTTACGCCCGCGCGACCACCTCCATTGAGCATAGACACGCTCATAACGGAGCACGGTGTGCCATATCCGGAATGGCGTCTCGCAATCACGCGCAAAGCGCGAC